CGGTTTGTCCCCCGGGCCTGTTTCCCCGATTCCACGGCTCCAACCCTGGGTTTTTTCGGGGCCGGGACCCCGCACACGCAAAGTTTTGCTGGGCTGGGGGCTGAGCTGTCGCCCAGCACAATGTCCAGCCTCGGAGAGGTCAAGGGGTTTGCGAGGTCAGTCCCCGGCTATAATACCCAGCTAATCGCCTAGAAAACGTGTCCTCTGCGTGAACTCTCTCCCCCGAGCCGGGCTTTGCCAGCGCTGGGGTTTGTCTCCCCAATTTTCCCCCCTTCCCATCGTGTCCCCGCCGCGCTCCCGGGATTCGGGGCGGCCAAACCCCGGGAGCGGCAGCAGCGCTTCCAGGATATCCCGGGACAAAGGCACGGCCTTAACCCGGGATATTCGCGGCCTCTGGGGCGTCCCTAACCCGGGACACCCGCACCCCTCGGGGACGCTCTGCCCTAAACACCCCGGGCGAGATTTTCCTCGGGAAATAATAATAAAAAAGGAAAATAAAAGACTTAAAACAATGACCAAAGGAGAGAGAGAAACCCCCCCAAACCAACCCGCACCAGCCCGGCCCGGGGTCCCGCAGCAAAGCCCAGCAGGGCCGAGCCCCAAACGCTCCCAAACCCCAAATCCAGGAGGGGAAAGAACAAAACAACCCAAAAACTATCAGCACAAGTAACCCGCCTGCAAACTTCCCCTGCCCGCTCCCCCTCGCTCGCATCGGTCAAAATAAAACCAGGAGACAGAAGGAAAACCCCGCACGAGAATTCCCTTTTTTTTTCCTTTTTCTGCGCCCCCCTCCCCCCTTTTTTTTTTCTTTTTTAGCTCCTTTTTTTTTTTTTTTTTCTCCCCCAAAAATAAAGCTTTCACCTTTACGATCCAGATTTTATTATTAATATTATTATTTCCCCCTGAAGATTCTTGGAGGGCTCCGGGTGCTTTTTTCCCAACAGACGGTCTGCGGAGATTTGCTGTTGAATAACAATGGGAAAAGGATAAGTATTTAAAGAAAAGAAGTGATTAATGATTTTCTGTATAATTCTCGCATTTTTCTTGGCTTCTGTCTGCTTATAATGGCTGTGAACTTTTAGGTCCTATAGAAATCTTCTTTTCTCCCCCTTCTATTCTATTCATACTTTCCAGCTTTGATTTGCTTCTATAGACCCCGCATTCCTGGAAGCATATGCCTTTTTTTTTTTTTTAAACAACCATTTTTTGCCATCCTTAGAAGGCCCATCCTGAAAATAACACCCCCTTTACAACCCCTCAGCAGATCAAAGAGAGAAACAGCAAAATAAAATGCAACAACAACAACAAAACGCCCCAACCTTCAGGCACCGCAATAAAATACAGCCCTCGCCGCCCTCCCCGGAAAAAGGAAAAAAACCCCAAAATAAATAAATAAAAAAAAGCAACTTTAAAGGTTTGCAGTCGCTGCCTCTGAAAACGCGAGAGTTCACCAAAATCCGGCCATAAATCCATTTTCTTTTATATCAGCGGGTGTCACGCGCGCCGCGCGATTGCATTAATATTATTTTTAAGCGCTAAAACGTCAACACAAAGGAAAATCCGGCGGCCCTTTGTTCGGAGGGGACTTTTGGGGACACTTTATTTGCGAGGTGACTCGGCTGCAGCCAGAGGGACAACACACGAACGCGCACTCTTAGCTTAAATATTCCAAACCCTGCCTTTGTTTCCGAATAATGCGGGGGAATATTTCGGTCCTGATGGGGGGTCTCGGAGAATTCCTCCGACATTGAGCAAATAAGCAAAG